ATTTTACTGTTTTACTGAGCACAGGGGAGTGGGATAGACGTTGTTAAGGGAAAACCAGGGTCTTATGCAACAGTGGAGCAAAACCGAACTCTGATGTAGTCATTTAGGGAAAGCTTCATCAGAGAAGGAGGGAATGCAGCTGTTCATTTTCTGGGCAGAAAAAAGAGCTTGTCTCCAAGTGGTAAAACACGAGAGGGACAAGGGTGCTCACCGAATGGCCCACAGTCCTCAGGCACTGACCACACACCAGGGCAGGAAGCAGGTGAAGCTTGTTTCTCACTGGTCCCAGTGCCAGAGACTCAAACATTCCATGCCTGGGAGCGCCCTTGATGGACAGAGGCCACAAGCTGCCCCCGGCCATCTGGAGCCCTTGGCCGCAATCTTTTTTCCTGTGTGTTCTCTGACATTCTCAGGATCCTTTCGGTGAAGGTGAAGTTTACATATAAAATCAGACTGCAAAGAGAAAATCGTCTGCTGTCAGAATGACTCTAGAAAACCACTTAGGAGGTCTCTATTTTAAAGAGCTCAAAGTCTAATACAGTCAATTTTTCCACCAGGAGTGGGAAACATAAATGTTTCCATACAAGCCCGAGAGTTGGCTTCTGAGATTGGGACCATATTGTGTAGTGAACAGATCCTGTGCCTTTAAATACATTCCTTTCTGAGAATTGTCTACACCCAGTGAGGCATGTATATCATTAAGGCTGAAGGAATGGCAGATCCGAGTTCTCTGTGGTATACTCACCCATTAGTGCTCTTTTAGGCTGAAGGGCTAAAACATGGCTCCTGTCTGATAAAGGCAGCCACCAGAATGTTCTCTTGCCTACCTGGGCACCCAGGCATTATGAAAATGTTGGACGTAAAATCACCCCCGCCTGCACACGTCGAGAGTGTGTAAGTCAGGTTACCCTGCCTCCCTGATGGGGTCAGAGTGTGTCCAGCCTCACACGTGACGTTTACTCCAGTACCGTGATTGTAAGGAGCATCAGACAGCAGACGTCCCAGCATTTAGAAAATCGATACTGTGTGCTTCTGTGACGGCCTGTTTTGGGAATGGGATAAAATATTAACGAAACATCTTTCTTTCACCTCCAGCTCAGTGGAAAGGCAACGACTGTGCAGGAAATTAGAATATAGTCAATGTGAGCATGGACGCTGGAGGAGCACAGGGGCTGGCTCTCCGGCCAGGCCCAGAAGGGGGAGGCGGTGTTTCCCGAATGCAAGGAGCAGCACATGTGTGTCGTGTGTGCAGCCAAAGCTTCTCTTTGACAAGCCTGTCGACAACGAAGTGAATAGGAGACGCCCTATGGGCCCTACATAGCGACTCCAGGAAACATAAAACAGAGGTACAAGCCGCAAAGACGAATCTGCACCTTTGATGAGAATTTGCAGCTCAGGAGCTAAAAGACACAAAATTTACAACCACCAGTGGAATAGTCCCTTGCCACGGTGACATCATTGGTGACGTTTGTTTGAAACATCAAATGCTTGCAGAGCCTTACCGAAGCCAGTAGGCTAAATGCGTCTGCAGATCACTGACAACAGACGAGTGGGCACTTGCGTGGAACGCCTACCCAAGACCTTCTGAACCCTCTCGATCGCGGTTGGGTACCCGCAATGCCGCGTTAGCAAAAAGCACAGCGGAGTGCTCTGTTCAGCTAGGTAACTAGTCAGTGATAGGTAATTCTGTCACTGAGCCACGCATTTTCTAGAAAAAGACAAAACCAACCAAAAAAACAAACAACGCACCACTGGAATTACTGGGAATTGCAGACAGCCAAACATGTTTTACGGACTAGCATCTTTTTCAGAACACATACAAAGAACCCATCTCTCGACCACCAGACCATACAAATGGGGTCTGCCACCTCAGACAAGAGGGCTGAGAAGACAGATTTTCTGCGTTTCCCTTTCTTGATTGCACTGTGATTGTGTGTGCTACTTCTGTGTATCGCTGTTCAGAGGCTCTGTTAGATGGAAGGGCATTTTCACAGCCATACTGATGTCGCTGGGAAGGCAAATGTATGCGAGGCTTCCTAATAGACACCAACTTTCTTCCATCCCCAACATTAGACACAAAAAAGGGAGAAAGAGATAATACAAAGAGAGGGATTCAAATGGTAGTAATTTCATTTTCTATCTTCCAGGTTATTGAATCATTTCGGAAGATGTGTGTCCATAAAAACCTTATCAAAATCACGTGCTAGCCTGTGGCAGATATATCAATCCATATTTGAACTTCCCATAGTCACATACTTCTTGAAAAACCGGGAATGTGCAATGGTCCTCATCACTTCACCAAGTCCTGTAATGACAAAACAATTGTCAGGGGCCCCAGATGCTTTGTTTTGTTTTGCCTTTTTTACACACCCACTAGCACTGTTTAATACATTCTTGGCCGTATATATTTCTAAATGTTCACTTCAAAATAGTAGAGGAAAATAACTACTCCCATTTTGTTCAACAGGACGTTTTAGTCAATAGGAACCCATGAACTATCATGAAACAAAGCATCTGTGACGTACGACAAAGACCTGCCTTTGAATCTTAGCTCATTTACTTGGGAAATTTACTTATTTGGGAAAATTACTTAGCACCTCTGAACCTCAGGTCCCCAGCCTTTAAACAGAAAATAGTAGGTACTTAATCGGGTAGTTGTATTAATAAAGACACTATGTACAGAACATATGAATTAGCTGCTCGCTCAATTACTTGTTATCAATACTAAAAAAGCAATTTTATCAACTTCCGATTTAATGGTTAGTGGTTTTTTTTGTTTTTTTTTAATGTGTAATTCAGGGGACAAAGTTTAGGCTGGGACCAGTAAAACCTGTCTTGGAATCCTCAGGGTCCCAAGAAGCACAAGAAAAGCCACTTTAACCTCGCTGAACCATGCTGTTTCCAATGGAAAATTTGAATATCAAGGTCTCCCTTCTGAGACTATTACAGAGATTGAATGAGGTCATTCTTCTCCGCACTTGGTAGACATTCATCAAATAGTAACTTCGAGTATTCCTAGGACTACAATAGCAACCGCTGAAAAACAAGGAATCATCTTGACATCCGCCTCAGAGGAAGATAACATCACCTTACACAGGGCTGGGAAACAGGGCTGTCTGATTTGCCAACCATGCTGGTTGCTGATGGCCTGGTATATTCTATGAAAAGGACTCCAGTATTTACTAAGCCTCTGCATGCATGCAGTGTGACAAACACAAGACCTGGAAAGCAGCATGCCACTATCATTAAGGATATTTAAATATCCCCCAGTATATGCAAAAAGCCACTGAAGATAAACCAAAATATTCTGCAGATAGGACATATTTTAAGAACTGGAAATATAAAGCAAGTGCCTTTTATCAGGAGGGTAGTAATGAGATCCGGGAAAGCAATCACAACAATAAAAGAAAGGACCAATCCTCTTACCCTCCTTCTTCTCTAAATCTGTTGTTTGGTACAGCATGTAGAGTATTAGAAACTGTTATTGTCCCAGGGTAGCACCATTCAAACATTTTAAGTTGACTTCTTTCCATTGGTTCTGAACAGTGTGGAGAGACTCCTACAGATGGTGTGAAGGGCAGACTCCTTGAGATAATGGAGGTTTATCAAGGGGGTGGGGGGGGGGGATTCTAAAACATCCTTGTGTGTTACCAATGATTGCTTTTAACGCAGGATGTGAGGGGGCATTCATCTTAAGGACCCATTCTTCAGAAACCAAAGGAACAGACCTGAGATTTGTTTAAAGTAATCAACAGGTTTTATTTCCTGGAACTGAAATAGTTCAGCTCTCAACTTCCAAAGCTACAGTCAACAATTTTTCATCAGAGCCCAAGGGAGAAGGGTAGGGGTGAAGGAGAGAACAGAAGAAGGGCACATGGAGAGGTTCAGGAAGAGGCTGGGGAGGGAAGGGGCACTCACTTCCTTCTCTCTTCTCAGGAAGTTACATTTCAGGTCTGGTGACAATGCTGAGGGGGTCAGGGTGCAGGACGTCATGGATGGGAATTGGCACTGCCAAGGAACACCAAAGTCTTAACTATAAAAAGTCCTCAAACCCCAAACAGAAAGGGAAACTTCTAGTCCATCTTGGAAATGGAGTTTGCAGTGGCAGAGGTGGCCGGCTGACAGAAGGCATGGCCCGGGTAGTTCTTCATTTGAGGAAAAAAAAAAAATCTTTTCATTAAAAATATTTTCCCAACTACATGCCTTTTCCTTTATGCCTGAGTGACATATACGACTGTAGGGTGGCCTGGAGGCTGTGGGGAGAGGGAAAGGGTGGCCAGGAGTCTCCCCAGAACATCCCATGAAACCCCCGAGATGGAAATTGGGGACGGATGTTCCTCACCACTCCCATCCAAAGAGCCGGGCCAAGCGAACCCTTCCCATCGCACCGACAACTGGGAAGTTCCCAGATTGATGAAAAAAACGACAAACCCCAGAAGGCCTAAACAGGACTCAGAAAGGAGGGAGGCCCTCGCCCACGAGTCGTCCAACTTGGGAGCAGCGGGGCTAATGGGCATGGGAGGGGCGGAGAGAGTTCCGGAAGGCGGCCGCCCACCACCCCCGCCGCAGTCGGAGGATGGCCCCTTCCGGGCCCCGGGAAGCCTCCCCAACCCCTGCTCGGTAGGTGCCCTCCACCCCTTCCCCTCCTACCCCCGATTCCAACGCAGAGGTCCGGGGTGCCCCGGGGAGGGAGAGGGGGTGTCTGGAGGTGGGAACGGCCGGTGCAGGCCTCAACTGAAGCCTTGGGGAAGCAGTTCCAGGCAGGGAGGAGCGCGGCGGGCTCAGCTCGTCGGGGCAGTAGAGGCCAGACTCAGATCTCGGGGTGCGGGTGGCCTGCCCCTCCGGGTCAACCCCCAGGGCCGCGCGGGCGCGGAGGGGCGGGCGGATGGAGGACAGCGGGTGGGGGTGGGGGGCGTCCCCGTTTGCGGCCGTGACCAGTTTCCCCAGTAACAGCCAGGCCGCGGCAGGAAAGGGGTGGGGGCTCTTCTTGAAACTGGTGACTACAGGCTGTCGCGCTCTCCGCCAGCCGGGGCCTCTGCCCGCTGCTCGGGGACCTCCGGGAGCGGCGGGGCCGCGGCGCCGCGGGTGTCCGGCTCCACGACGGGCGGCGCGGCCCCTCGCCCGGCGGCGGCCTCCTCCTGCTGCTGCTCCTGCTCCGGCTGCGGCGGCTGCGCCCCCGCTTCGGGCTCGGCCTCCCGGGGGCGTTTGGGGGGGCCCTCGGGCAGCTCGCCCGCGCCCCGCTTGGGCGGCGCCCGCTCGGCCTGCTCCTCGGCCGGCCCGTCGCCGCCCGGCTTCCCCGGCTGGTCGCTGCGGCCGGCCCGGTCGCCCGCGCTGGCCTCCGGCTGCGGCCCGGGCCGGTCCGCGCCGCGCTCCCCCGGCGCCAGCGGGTAGTCGGCGGCCCGCACGGTGGGGTTGTTCTCGATCTCCCACAGCCCCTCGCTGAAGCCCCGGCGCTTGCTGGGCTTGCCGAACTTCTCCTTGGACTCCTCGTACGGGAACAGGTGCTTGGGGCCCAGGAAGGCCGTCTCGTGGGTCCCGAAGAAGAACACCTGGTAGCGGTTGGGCTCGGCCATGTGCTCGACGCGGGCCGGCCAGTGGGCGTAGCCCTTCAGCTTGGCGAACACCAGGTCGCCGCTCTTGTACTTGCGCCGACAGTAGCACGACATGGCGGGGCTGGACCCGGCCTCGGCGGAGGCCCTGGCGACGCCCGGAACGCGGGCGGGTGGTGGCCGCTGGGCTGGGCCGGGCGCGCGGCCTCCGCCCCCCCCGCCCCGAGCGCCCCGCGCGCCCCGCGCGCCCCCCGACGGGCGCAACGCTCGGCGCCCCGAGAGGGGTCTAGCGCGGAGACGGCGCTATCTCCGAGGCCCCACGGTGGACGCCGCGGTTTCTAGAACGGTAGAGCCCCCGGCTCGGTTATCCGGGGACCCTCGGCCTCTGGGCCGTCGAGAGGGGCCCCGAGAGGGTAAGATGGGGCCGGGCGGTGGGGAAACGCGGTGACCCCGTGAGCACAGAGGTGGGGGACACTAGGAACCGGCCAGAGCAAACTCGAGGTGTCCGTGCGGGCCCTGACCTGCTCGCAGCGGCAAACTCTGCTCTCGCCTCGGGAGCCGTTGATGGCCTGACTGGGTCAGGGCTTTCACCATCTTCCTGATTTCTTCGAGGGCTGCCGCTGGAGCCTCCTCCGGGTCTCTGGCAGAGTCGGGGGGTCTGACTAAGGGATGGGGTCAGGGATAGTGTTGGGATGTCCTGAGTGCACGTCTTCTGAACGGGCAGTAGTTTTGGGAAAATGTTGACCGCAGCATGACCCAGGGTGAACCAGGCATATCAGAATTTCCTGCTTTGCGTGGGAAGGTTTGCACCGCGTGCTGGACGTGGACTTTATCCTTTCGGTGACTGTTAGGTATTGTAAACAGACTTCATGGTTCTAACACAAAGAGTATATCAAACGCTCTCAAAATATTCCTACAATAGGAGAAACGTGGGCTGGTTGTGATTAACAACTAGGTAGAGGTCTGCTCAGGTCAAACAAGCTGTTGGTAACTAGGGCTTCCTGGGGGCTAGACTAAAAAAAGCACGATCTCAGCTGAGAGACTATTTTAGGAAGAGACGTTTCTCCAGATAGAAGACCATTCTAAACGGATACTTCTGGGAGTTTCCGTGTAACTGCTTTTGTTATAAGGCTTTCTACATCTTTTTTTTGAGTTCTGCGAGCATGCACTTTGAAATCCAGCCAGATTTCTCAAAATAGTACTCTTGGCTGTTGTGACAAAGACCTTTCAATATCAATCATCTGTTTAACTACACAGATGTTCCTTCCTAGTGTACCCAGCAGTGACCAGGGGAGAATGAGAACCATTAACCCGTCTCATTACGCTCAGATTTGTTTCTGGTTTGCTGGGTTGGATCAGACATATTTGCCTCTGGAGTTACCTTCTCCCAACAAGGCAAAACATATAGGATGCACTCTGATCATTCTAAACAAGTTCTTTTAGCTTTTCCGTCAGGCCATTTTCTCAGAACGTTTTTTAGCACATTCAGCTACGAAGATGAATCTGATACGTTTCCTTGTTTCAACTTCGTACGGAAAGCGCCAGAGAGCTAGGAATGTTAAATAGCTGTAGAAGAGAAAGAGAACATCCTAGACGGCTGTGGAGCCCATGGTAGGCAGGAATGTGAGTTTCTGTAAGCGGAGGTCTTGCCACACACACTTGCGCCCTTTTTTCTCCCCCCCCTTGGCTATGCTAAAGCCCAGACCATCGCTTGGTTGTGGACTCACGGCAGATACACGGGTAGACATGTGGGTATTATTTGGACTGGGTATTTAAAGGGTAGAGCAAAGAACCAAAAACTGAAACAAAAAGGATACAGAGGCAAAAAAAGAAAATCTAAGAGAGAAGCACCCAGATCTGCAAGGAGTAAGAAATTCTATTGGGCACAGACCAGCATTGTCCTATCTTCACCTCTCGTGGTGTGGTCCTGTAAGGCTGGCACAAAAGAGGTTTCTGTTTGAGGACATTAAAATATCATTTCAGAGGTAAGTCACCTGGAGACTTCATTATGAGAAACCCAAGCTATCCCAAGCTAGTCTTCAAATGCTAAATCCTGTGTTCCTTGCATAAACACAAAGGAACTCCAGGAGAACTCCGTGGGAGGGCGGTTACTAGGATTGGGAAGGGTAGTAGGAGACACAATAGAAAGAATTCTCGGGTCCCTTACTTGTTTACTGGCCTCATAAGGCTGGCATAGATAACTTGGTTCTGAGCCTCTGCTATGTGATCTTAAGGTGTTTAAAGAAATACTTTGAATGTCTCTCAGAATTGTTAAAAATATTAATGTGATGATGGGTAATGAAAATCCAGACCATGGGTGTGAGGGCCATTGCTAACAAAGTGTGAAGGAGAGTTTCATTTTTGATAAGAATTAGGCTGTTCTTAATATTATTATGCTATTATTATTATTAGACTAAGTGAGAATAAAGAGCTATGGAAAGGCGTGGATTCACGAATAAGAGCACTAAAGAATGAGAGAGTCTCTGCCAGCTCAAGTTCATGTGACACAAGCAATTTCATACCCAGCACAATTTCTGCACGAGACCACATAAGAGATTTTCCTGGGTGGGAATACTATTTTTAAAAGCAGTATTTCTCGCTGGAACTGATTCCCTTGTGGTAGCTGACCCCAGAAGCTGGAGAATGGGAAGGAAGGTTGAGGAAAAGGGAAATTCATTTAAAGAGTTAATAGGGACCACTTTCACAGGTACCTCGTTCCTTTGACACCTGCGTTCTCAGCGATGCAATTAAGTGGCTCGAGCTTGGCTTCTCTTACCCTTGAAACCAATTTGTTCTTAAAAGTTACTGTCTCTCTTGCTCCAAGTGGAGAGAAGAGGGAAGTGGCGTTCAGGATAACCTGCTCAGGCGTGGATTGGGCTGTTGTACAAAATACTCCTGAGCAACTACAATTACCAGTTTTTAGGAACTGGAGCTCCACGAGCTCAGCTGTTTCTAATAGGTCAAGATCTTTTAAAAACCAGTGTGCCAAGAACACCTGCGTGTCAAAAGGCCCTAATTTCAGCAGAGGCATACCTCTCAGAACCCTTAGAGTCCAAAACGTGTTACCCTTCTCGGTTTCCTTCTCTGGAAAACTCATGATAGCATTTAAAAGGCTGCTTGGCAACAATTATGAGACGCAGGCGATAAAACAATATAATTATACAAGAGAGACAATAGATACCTAATTGATGTTTTCTTGTTTAATTAGTTTAAAATTCAATTAGCCTGATGTAAACTATGATATAAAATAAATGCAGTTGCTCTCTCTGTGCTCTTGTCTTCCTTAAAAATATTAGCCTCCTCTGGGTCTGTACGACAGAAGTGTTTATACACGGTTGGGATGTGGGGTCATGGCTTTTCTTTTTAAAATGTTCTAGCAGGCACAATTATACAGAAAAAAATGCCTCTCTGTGACCGTGGGTAGAAAATCCCCCCGCTGTCCTTTCTGAAAGCCACAGGAGATGATGCCCATTTTTCTATATTTTGTCACCTTTGCATTTTATCAATGTCCATATAGCCTAGCCCTTAAAGCCTCAGAGACTTCTGAAATCCAAGGGATCCATTGAGGGTAGGAGAAGCTGTATCAATGGGGATGTCCTGGAGCTAAAGGATAATGTATGGGAAGTTTCCAAGGAGCTGTATCATTATCAACTTGAATAATGAGTCAACTCTGTACCTAAGCTTGATGATGGCATTTGGGGAGGGGAGACAGAAGGTACAGGCTGCCCCAGTGGTGTACGTGTGCGAGCAACTTGGGCCTCCTTGACCAGTCACAAATGTTACGGGGCACGTAGATCACGATTGTTTGCAAAACTGCTGTTTTTGTGACCCTGGAAAGAAGAATGACACTCGAAAATTAATACAAGTGGATGGTTACACATAATTACATTTTATTATCCTGATGTGTTGGGAACTTAGAGATTTTACACATTACTCTTTGGGAAAAAAATTAAGGAAATGTTTCAATAATATGGATATTTTTCTAATTTGAATCTTGCATGATATTTATTCAAACTATCACATGACAATGTATGGGTTTTTTTTTTTATCTATGTAATTAGCAAAGTGTAAGCAAATAACTTATCAGTGCTGGTGAGTATTCAATACTTGAGGACTAGATGAATAAAATGGTCTTTTTACATAATAATGTAATTAGATGGCCATATTTATGTCTTTAAGGTTTTTAAAGTATAATTTAATGACTTTGAAAATGCTTAAAATATGAAGTTGAGCGAAAAGAAAGAAAATATATAAGGGAGGTAATTTATCAGCCTATGTGAAACCTAGTTCCTTAAATCTAAAATGTGTGTAAATTTAAGGCCCATTTGAGAGAAAGGCTGTTCCGAATGAACAAAAAGTGTGTGTCAAATAGGTTGCCTGGCATCTATTAAATGTTCAATTACTATTAGTCATTACTATTAAAATAGGGAGTACTAGAGGCACCTGCGTGGCTCAGCTGTTAAGCATCTGCCTTCGGCTCAGGTCATGATTCTGGGGTCCTGGGATAGAGCCCCGCATTGGGCTCTCTCCTTGGTGGGAAGCCTGCTTCTCCCTCTCCCTCTGCCCCTGCTGTGTTTCCTCTTTTTGCTATGTCTCTCTCTGTCAAATAAATTAAAAAAAAAAAAAAAAAAAACAAAAAAAAACAGGGAGTACTACTCTTTTGTTAAAGTCTGAATCTTTTTATTTTTGCATTACGTGATACCTTTGGGAGGGATTATTGTTGTTTCTCCCGCCCACAAATTTTTTTCTGGCTCTAAATTTAGCTTGACACTTTGCTAGTGCTCTTTCAATTTTAATATAGTTATATGTATTTTTCTTGTTTTTTGGAGGGGACATGTTCTTCATGCCATAAAAACACATTTTTAAAAGATCCAAAGTCAACAAGTTCACGTCTATGAGCACCTATGGGTCTGGGCTTTGCGATTTCAATCCTGCCCTTGTCATTACATGAATGTGTCATGCAAATGGTTAAAATAACTAAAGCTTTCAGGAAAGCCTTGCTAAAGTTTTTGATGTTACAAACTGTCTTCACCTCAGTGACCTCCGACTCTACCTTAGTCTCACGGCTTTCAAAATAATTACCAAAATACAAATTTGGTAATTATTTAATTTATACTCTTTTCTTTTAAGGAAATTATCAATAATGTGCATGACAAGAAAAAGGGAATATTTCAACCCAGATGTCTAATTTTGAATTAATGGAAATG